CAACCCCTACACTAGAACCACTTATATACTCGCTTTATAATTATAGTTGGTTACCGAATAAATAAATAAATAAATAAATAAATAAATATATATATATATATATCTATCTATCTATCTCCGTGCAATAAGCAGAACCCTGGAGTACGGAACCTTTCCAACCTTCGAACCCCTGTAAAGTAGAACCTGGAAAACTTTTTGCCCCACACCATGGCCTGCCCAAGACTGGAACTCTTCAAGAATACAACAAGCCTCAGCAACACCAACCCCTACACTAGAACCACTTATACTCGCTTTATAATTATAGTTGGTTACCGAATAAATATATCTTATATATCTAAATAATACATTTTATTGGGTGCTTGTTCTGGACCCATTATATTGACTGACTGTTTGTCATTGGTGACATGTAGTTTACTACCTAATTGTCGTGCTTGTTGTAGACTGTACTGCCACATCTTCTTGAATCGCTACAAACATATGATCTGTGTCACGACGAGAAACATGCATGGTTCGATCTACGTATAATAACATGTAGATTTCCCTATATGCAACATCTTGTTAACCTAGCAGGTACACACGAGGTTTGGGTATCAAGTAGAACAAGCACACACCTGTGTTGTATAGATGCATACAAGTATGCATGCATTATTTATATTATCGTGTCGGACAGTCAAGACCATGTGCAACGACGACCTGCGTGCGGGATACTCGAAGAAATCTTTGTCGTGGCCTATATGCATGGCCTACACAGGTGGCTGAGCTTTGTAGTTAGAGAGAAGCACAAACGTGGGGAGGGTCGGACAGGTATTTATCAACCTAGGCAAAGAAGGGTCCGGTTGTTCATTGGGCGGGGCCCTAGGAAGTTAGATATGATTACGTACAGAATATGTTGATAAGCCCGACACCAGGTCCACTCGGCACAGCTTGGCGGTGCTCCATTAAAAAAACGATCTCGTAGGCGACGGCCAGCAGCGAAAGCAAACCGGTGCTGCTGAGAATACAAGCCTCGGCCCTAGAAACCCCAAGTCCTCGAAGCCCTTTGTTCCAACACCTTACGTATTACATTCTTTTTAGAGAAGCGGGACTAACAAGCAATGCCAGAGAAGCTTCTAGTCCTATCTACACACCCCAAAGCCAAAAACCCTCAACGTCAAACCTATTTAAGTTTCAGGTTGCTGGGGTGACGGGCTTTTCCAATAATACAGCGGCATGCAACAAGGCAATATAGTACTAAGTTACATGCGGTCGGGATGGGAGGGTACAAGGCATGGACTTCACGGCTATTGTTCCTAGACTTATTGCGATGTAGAACAGTTTTTTTTATAACCCCGGAAATACAGTGTTCTGGTTCTGCACAAGCACCATCCACAAAAACCAGCACTAATCGTTCTTCGATTAGGCATAGTAAGCATACGAACTATATTCATTATATGCATATAGTCTACGGAAACCCTGCACCGGCTGCCTAGCTGTACATGCTGCTGCCTCTTGGTCAGAAAGAAAAGCTGCTCTCCACATGGGACTGCGGGGCTAGGGCTTGTTATATTTCGGGCATTGAAACTATTTGGGCGGTGTTACGGTTTACTATGGTAGCGGGGCCGACCACGGCCACACGGCTCTCTGAAGAGTTGAGCTCGAGCAGTGGCTTTTGGTATAGGGTTTCGGGAGGACTAATATATTACTTATATAAAGGGTGTTCTTGCGACCTCTGGATGAGAGGTTCCAGACATCTTCAGGTTTAGGGTGCAGGGTTTGGGCATTGGGTCTCGGGTTTCCTAGTACCAGGCACCACCCAATAGAAGCATAGCGGAAGCAGTGTGTGCAAAACGAGGCCCAGGAAGTTGAAACCTCCAAGCCATAAACTTAAATATATACGAACCTAGCGGGCCAAGGGTTGTCGGTAGCTACTGTAGTACGGCTGCAGGGCTATATGTAGGTGTAGTCAGCATAGTTAATCTATTAAAATCCGGTGCAGCTGGAGCTCACTCCTGAAAGCCTCGTAGGTTCATTTCATAAAACCCTAGCCAAAGCCTTGCCCCCCGAAAACCAATCCATTCCCCTAGAACCCCCAGAGTGCTCACAGCGGGAAACCGATTGGGCTCAAGGTTTGAGGCTGCGGGGTATTTGGGTCTTAGGGGCCCTAGCATTAAGTTCGTGCGACATAAACTGATCGGTTACTACCCCCGGAGCACATCTGAGGCTTCGAGGATGCAGTTCCGATTCTTCTTGGAGGACCTGTGGTCGTATCTAGCTTAGAAGTGTTAGGGTGTAACAGGTGTCCAGGGCACGGCTACAGCACAAAACACACTAAACATTTCTGTTCCTAGTGTAGATCATCTTCGTTGTGCGTGAGCAGCTCGTTGGCGGCTGAGCCCAGCCGCTCGAAGCCACCTGAGGTTGCACGGGGCACAAAGCTTAGGGCTTAGGATTGGTGGGCTTTAATGGTTGCGATTTTTGAGGTTAAGGTCAGGGTCTGGTTTCTTTTCCCTGGCTCATAGCTTAGGATTCAGTCCGTTTCTGGTTCGGCACTATCTAGTTAAACTACCCAAATGAGTTTCTTATCGCTTGCGGGGAGCCTTCCAATGTCGGATCCATAGCCTTCTCGTCCTCCTCTTCGCCGCCCTCCTCGTCGTCGTTGTCCTCGTCCTCATCATCGTCCTTCTTGTTTGTCGCCGGCGGCGAAGGCCTTATCTCTGCCCGGTCCCAAACCCAAAGCATTACAAACCGCAAACCGGCACCCAACCAAAAAAACAACAAACACAACCAAGCCTCGCCAGCGGAAAACCCTCTAGCTTCTGCTCGTTGACATACTCCCAAGACATGGGCTTCTTCGCCCAGTCGTGTTTCACTTCCTCGGCGTGCTTCAGCAGGCTGTCTCGGCATTGCTTGAAGTCGATCTCGGCACTGTTCAGGTTCATGTTCTCGTAGCACATGGCCATTGTCTGCAACACATGGGAAGCCTCAACCGTTCCCAGTGCTGCGTCCGCTTTCAAGACGTACTGCATTTTCTGCCTCCATGGGCCCGCCGAAGGACCGAAGCGGTCCTCTTTGCACTCCAGCTTGAGGATCGGGTGCTTCGCCCCCTGGCTGGCATACTTCACCCGCACAGACTCCAGGAGGAAGTCCTGCACGGGTCTCGGCTTGCCCGCCTCCTTCGCCTTCGCCTTGGCCTTTTTTGTTGGCACCTGCTTCACATCGCCCAGTCGCGGCAGTGCCGCCTGCTCGCCTTTGTTCTTGATGTCGTCGGGCACCAGGTGGGGAACTCGCCAAAGTCGTCCGCTCTCAAAACGGACCACGACTTCGTCGCCCTCCACGTACGGACTGGAGGACATCTCATCCTTGCACACGGCCTTCTCGTGCAGGTTGGACCAGGTCACCTCGTCCGTCGGCTTCGGCTTCTTGTCCTTGTTTGGCTTCGGCTGCTTCGTCTTGTCGCCCTTTTTCGTCGGCTTCGGCTTCCTTTGGCTTGGCTTTGGCCGCTCGTCCTTCTCGTTCGCCTCGTTCTTCGGCTCGTTCTTCTCGTCGTTCTTCTCGTCGTTCTCCTCGTCGTTCTCCTCGTCGTTCTCCTCGTCGTTCTGCTTCTCGCCCAAGCCAGGAAATCGCAAAGCCGATCTCCTGGGCGGCCCTGGCGTCGGCGATGCATAGCCTGAGCTGCAGATAAGGATTTGGCCGTTGAGTTATGGTGTGGGCTGATGGGTTTAAAGGTTTGGAATAGAGTCGGTTGGGTCTAGGGCTAAAGTCTTCTTGGCTTCGGTCGGGGATCAAAGATTCGGTGGGTTCATAGAACGACGGGGTCGAACTTCAAGGTTTGGGGTTCATTAGAGTGTGTATCGGGGGTTAAAGATGGTGTGGCGTGGGTGTAGTATTTATGAGTATAGTGTGCTGGCTACATAAGGGCTTTAAGTTAGGTGCGAAGGGAAGCTTTAAGGCTTGGCGTGTGGGATCCAGGGGGCCAAACTTTGAAGTTCACCGGGCGGCTCGTGCACGGCCTCGATGGATCCAAGCTAGTCTACAGGATCAAGGACTTTACTATATATTAAGTTAGTTTATTGGTGGGGCTTATCGAGCGGATCGGCCGTAGTTGGCGATGTTTTCGGGCTTCAGGGACAGGTTACATAGTTTGGGAAAACCCGAAACCCTCAAACCCGAAACCCTAAACCCTCAAACCCTAAACCCGAAGCTCCAACTCCACCCTGGGCCTCAAACCCGAAACCCTAAACCCTCAAACCCTAAACCCGAAGCTCCAACTCCACCCTGGGCCTCACCGAAAACTAGGAAATCGAATAACAACCACTGGAAGGTTGGGGAACCCTACCCCTGAAACCCACAAGCTTAAAATTTCTCGCTGTCCAAACAAGGATATATCAATGGATCTCTGGGATGGAAGACCGATGAGTAACGATCCCTGAATGCAGCTCGGATTGAACGTCCTTTTCCTATGCTGATGCGACAGCGTAAACAAAGAACGGCCCTTCAATCTTGGATGTGGATTCTCCGCCTGCAGCTTGGTTCCTACAGTGCTCGGAATGTTCGTAACTGCTTATCAAAGCAGCTTCCAGAAATCCAGCTGCCTCACCGTGCTGTACTATCGCCAAAAGCCTCATGCTTTTAAACAACTTCGGTATCTCGCGGCAATATGCATGCTCAGCCTGTCGCCACCGGTAAGCAGGGTCGGCCGTGAGGCCAATCTTGTATGTAAGCGACGACGATTCAAGAATCCGAATGCGACCCACAGCGTGACTCAGCACTTTTGAAGCCAACTGGTTCGCTGCTGAGAACTCGATCAAGATTGTAGGGTCCTGTAGTATCGCTCGCATGACGGGTTCAAGTCGGGGCATCCAATGAAAAGAAATCGGCACCAGCATTTTGTAATAGTTTGCACTGACAAGCTTCTCACGACGACCATTCACCATCATGAACGGCCCTGGGCCATCACCAGCAGCAACAGCATTGTCGTTGTAACGGCTCGCCGCCGATTCAAAGCGCTTAAACGTCCTTTCAGTGCAAAATTCGGCACCCGCCTCCATAAGACCCCGCAACGAAAGCTGCGACGGGTCTCCCGAACAATCGTCCTCGTGCAACAGCCGTTCCAGCGAATCGACTTCCATATCATCAGCATCACGATCACGATTTTTATTGTTCGTATTGGCTGAACCAGCACTGCAAGAAGCTTCGCCAGGCGTGCACAGTTCTACCAGCCACTCATGATCAGAATCAGAGCCATTCGCCCCTTCACCAGGACCCGACATCAGCCCATCAAGAAGCACTTGTGTGGAATCACCAAAACCCCACAACTACTAGTCCAGAGACCCTGCACCAAGAAGCATATGTATCCAATC